CAATTTTGGGCGTCCCTGTTAGTTCCCATCTATTGCAAGAAGCAGCTTTTCTGATGAGGGCTGAGCAGGGCACTGATCTGTTGTATAGCAGGATGTCACTGGGAGTCACTTCACTGCTGTGCTCCTGCAGTAGAATAATAGCACATGTTTCTCCCACTATGACCTGTCTAGTCTCAGGTTCTTGGCCACCTTAGCAATGTCGGGTCTGGGTTCCATCTCATGGAGTGGGCCCTAATCCAACCAAACATGTTGCCACTGCTGCACTGGTGTATCTGGCAGGCGTCCTAAACCCAATCAAACATGTTGCCACTGCTGCACTGGTGTATCTGGCAGGCGTCCTAAACCCAATCAGACATGTTGCCGCTGCTGCACTGGTGTATCTGGCAGGCGTGTTCTGTTGCAGCTCACAGCGTTCACAGTGGGGTGAAATGATGGTTCCTGTCCTCTGGCAGCATGCAGACGACGTTCCCGTCAGTAGGGGTGAAGCTTCCAGCTGACCAGCTGACATCTCCATGGTCAACTGTAGTCATCAGCAACAGGGCCTACCTTCAGGTTGTGGTGAGCAATGTGTGTACAGCCTTGAAGGCAGCCTGTGATGTTTGGGGGTTTTCATTCGACCCCTTTGGCCGACGACTGCATCTGTCTCTCTCTTCTGAAGTCCAGGGTCTTATATTGTCTGTTATCTGGGATCGAAAAGCCATTGATTTGTGTGTGTTGCCTAGTCTTGGCCATGTAAAGTGGAGTAAATTAGGTCTTGCTATGCCTCATGGCTGCCAGCAGCGGACACAATGGACCCTGAAATGTCTTGACAGTAAGCATAAAGGGGCGGGGTGAACACTGCTCTGCAAAGGTCTGGAGCCGCTATACATCGTGTCAAAATTTTAATGTCTGTATGATCTAGCTATCGACATGAACAATGCTATGGAACAAATCCCCGCATCCCAGTGGCTCATGGCAAGGAATGTTTGTGTCATGACAAGACATGGCGTCACTGGGCTGGGCATGAGCTCCACATTAGTCTCTGGACTGGCTTGGTTGTGCTCTCCCTATGTTCCAGGACATGGGCTAAAAGGACAGTGGCTATCAAGCGCATCTCACGACATCACGGGAGGGAAAGGAGCAAGCCTAACACGCGGGCACATGTCCAGCCTCTGCCTGAGTCTCAAAGCAGAGCCAGAGCTAGGCCCACATTTAGAGTACAGGAGGACGCCTCACCCTGTGGGGTCTATGGCAAAGCTTTGGATGAAAATTCTGTTGGAGGCGGAGAAGAACTCTCATATTATTCAGTGTCCCAGAGTCTCCATCTGATTTCTAGAATCCCCCTTTAAAAGGTCACCACTTTTTTCCTTTTACATTTTTTCATATAATTATTGTTACAGTATGTATGTGTGTGTGCACATGGTATGTGTGTGTGTGTGTGTGTGTGTGTGTGTGTGTGTGTGTGTGTGTGATGCATATGGTGTGGGGGCATGCATGTCACAGGTTGCACATGGAGGTGAAATTGCTGTGGGATATTTGATCACACTGTGAGCCCCGGGATTTCATTATTTACTGGAAAAACCTGCTTCTAGCTGTGGTGTGGCTTGGCCCTAGCACACACCTTTAATCCAAGAACTTTCTGCTTGAATATTGTAAACAGGATTAAATAAAATCAACCTTAGGTCAAGAGGTGGGGCAAGCAACCAGTTGACAGGAAAAAAAAAAAAACAGTGTAAGAGGAAGTCAGGAGGGTGGAGAGAGAGACACACAGGAAGTAGAAAGGAGGGACAGCCAGTTGGAGGAGTTTTTGTTTGAGACAGTGTAGGAGAAAGTTCTCTTTCTGGGGAGATGGCGGCAGAGGAAGAGCTGGGCGCTTTCTCTGCCTTTCTAAGCTAGCAGGTTTTCACCCTGGGATCTGGCTTCCGAGTCTTTACTGATAAAATAGATTGATAGAGACTTAGTCAAAAGCAACAAAGAACAACTTGTAGGAGTCAGGGCTCTTCCTTCCATGTCCGTCCTGTGGACCAAACTCAGGCCATCAGAGTTGGTGGTGGATGTCTTTACTTGCTCAGCAATCTGAAATCTCCTTTTTCAATGCACTTTCCCACCCAACCCTCTGCCTGTGGAGAGAATGACAGACAGCTGAATTCTATCTAGGATTGGACCAGGGTCACTGACCAGAAAACATTTCAGTCTCCACATTTGAACTCAGACATTCCTTGTTGTCCCCGCTCCATTGAGCCCAGACTGATGCTAGAGAGTCCTTTCAAAGTCTTCATCCCTTCCTCCCATTTGCAGAGACTCTTTGGGGGAAGGTACACTGTGGTCCAGTGTGGGTCCACACCAAAGCCCCAGCACCCACTGAGAGATTTAAGGTGGATTTTAAGGAGGCTCCCCCAAGGTTGACTGCCAATGCCCTGTAGGCCTGGGTTCCTTGCCTGGTGTGTTCTTCTCTACTTTACTCCCTCTCCAGGTTGGGTGACTGTTTCATACCCTGTGTGAGGCTATACCACACACCTCAGCCAATAAAGCCTTTGGATCCAGGAGAAAACCTCTCAGCAGGAGAGTGAGAGTCAACAGACCTTAGCAAGCTCTAGAAGATGTGTTCCGGGATCACTGACAGTCACGAGGGGGCACTGTTTGGTAAGAACTGGCTCTGTGCTAGGGTCACAGGGAGGACCTAGACAACAGGTTCTGGTTGTCCCAGCACTTTCCATCTTAAAGTCTGCTGCAGACCAAGAAATCAGTTGTGGAAGGCCAAGGCTGGCCTGCTTCATGCTTCTGGCTCCTAATGGCATAAGCCAGGCTATGACCAAGAAGAATTCTACAGGCCTGCCTAGCTTCAGGATACCCGAAAAGGAATGACAGAAGTCAACAGCATCGACCCAAACGAGTCCATGTTGCTGTGTCATCCCCTGTCTGCTCCCCAAGATCACGAGTTCTTAGACGATGGAACAGACACACCACCAGCAGAAGGTATTTTTATTTGGCTGTCATAATTTCTGGGCGCCTCTTTCTGCACCTCCATTGCCCTGCCCGACTCTAGCTAGGTTGGAAACACAACACAGGCTGCCGCTGACTGTGTTCCCTCCCTTTCATGTCCACTGAGTCCAAGTCACAGAGCCAGGTTGTCGAATGATGGGAGGGGCACTGAGACAAGACCACTGGGTAGCTGTGTTCTCCCTGTGGGGACAGGGAGTCTGGGCTTTAATTTTGTAGAGCCCCACACAGCTTGGTGGGGTATTGGCTCAAGGTCCTGATGCCTGCAGAGCTCTGGGAAGCTTGCCACTGTTCTCTGGTAGTGTGAATCCTCAGACTGCAAGGACACATGGGTCCCTGCAGACAGGGCGAGGGTGTGATAGCAAAGCGTTTGGGCTGGGACACTGGCCCTTGAGGTACCCTACAGTCTACTGTCTTATCTGGTGCTCCGAAGCCCTGCCTGGCCTGCCATGGGCATACCTGGGCTTCTAAGCCAGGAGTAGACTAGGGTGGTGGCTGGCAAATAGCTAGAAAAAATGGATTATTATCCTCCTATGTTGTGCCGCCTGGAATGTCCCCAGTCTGTACACTATGATGATGTACTGCACCATCACCAAGTCTCTCATAAACGTGACAGTGAGCAGCAACCCAGCCTTGCCCTCAGCTCCTTGACATTGGCCACCCTCCCAGCGGCTCTGTCAGGACCGTCCAACAGCCCTACAAGTCCTCTCTGGTGCTCGCCCAGACACGTCCTCCAAGTACAGCTCTCCTCCTCTGGCCTCACATTCGCCAGCTGCTCTGGGGTGGCTTTATGTTGTATCTGAGGTCACAGTGAGGGGCAGGGTCTTTGTCTTCACATCAGTCATTCCATTTGCAGGACACGGTTGGAATCCCATCAGAAATTCAGTTACTTCCCAGGCCTGAAAGAAGACAGGGTGATGGTTAGCTTGGGGTGGGGGATTTTCTCAGGACTGACAGGCACTGGGGGGGCTGGCCACACCCTCATCTCTGAACACTGCCTCCCAGGCTCTGCAGGAAATACTTCGTTTCTTCTTGGCTAAGGTATCATCCTCAGCAGACC